AGCAAGCAGTTAGGAAGGCTAACGGTATGTTAGCTTTTTGTTACAAAAGGGTTAGAATATAAGAGATGGGGAGCATTGCTGCAACTGTATAGGGCCCTGGTGAGACCGCACCTGGAGTATTGTGTGCAGTTTTGGTCTCCTTATTTAAGAAAGAATGCACTCGCCTTGGAGGGGGTACAACTAGGTTGGTACCTGGGATGAGTTATGAGGACAGGTTGAGCAATTTAGGCCTATATTCTCTAGAATATAGAAGAATGAGAGGTGATCTTAGAGAAACCTATAAGATTACTAAGGGGCACAACAGAATAGATAATGGGAGACTTTTTCCCCTGATTGGAGAAACAATAACCAGGGGTCACAGTCTTAAAATTAGGGGTAAGCCCTTTCACACTGAGTTGAGAAAAAACTTCTTCACTCAGAGGGTAGTGAATTTATGGAATCCTCTATCCCAAAGGGCTGTAGATGCTCAGTCCTTGAACATATTCAAGACTGAGATTGATTTCTTGTGGATAAAGGGATATGGGGATAAGGCGGGGAGGTGGAGTTAGAATAGATCAGCCATGATCTTATTGAATGGCGGGGAAGGCTCGAGGGGCTGAATGGCCTACTCCTGCTCCTAATTCTTATGTTCTTATGAGAATTGTATATATGCATGCCACCTAAACATGATAATTTCCTCGTATCTGGAATGCAGTATACTCTCTCTCTGGGGCGATGCAACCTGCTAACCTAGTTCAAGAAAATATTAGGCATAGGTTAATGAGAAGAAGTCCTGTGGAGTCCTGTAGCTCAGTGGTTAGAGCACTCGCTTTGCAAGCGAGAGGCCTGAGTTCAATTCCAGGCAGGGCGAAACCTTGGGCAAGTTTCCTTACTCCACACGCCTAATAATAATCCCTCCAAAAACCAAAAACAATAATAAATTAGTCATTTTTAATCTACGACTGTTTGTGGGACATTGCTGTGCGCAATTGGCTGCCGCGTTCGCCCACAAATATAGTCAATTCACTTTACAGAGTGTTCTGTGAAGCGCTTTGGGACATCCTCCCGACGTGAAAAGCGCGATATCAAATGCAAGGATTATTATTATTATTAAGAAAGATTTTGAGACTCGAGTTTGATATGGGATACTGCTGTTTATGGAACCGTACTTACAAAATAGACTGCCACACTTACCTACACTTGACAGTAATTTCTTGTGAAGCTCTTTCAGATATTCAATGTAATAAAGAGCTACGAAAGTGCAAGTTTCTTACAAGCATAAGTAGTTACAGATGATCAAATATTGCATTGAACAATATATTCTCAGTCCTGCTGGAAATGTCATCTGCAGAATGTTTAGTAGCCAGGGGTTGAATAATATTAAAAATAATCCTTGCATTTGATACCATACCTATTGCATCAAAATGTTTCAAAACAATTCACAGGAAATTTCTGTGAAGCGTAGTGATTTGCGGGCAAATCTTGGGAGCCAAACTGTATGTATATTAATAATAATCCACCCGGCCCGGGACTCAAACCCAGGTCCTCTCGCTTGCGAGGTGAGTGATCTAACCAATATGCTAGAGGTCTCCAATATAACAATACTCTACAAGCACCAAGTAAGTGAATGAACAATTTATCTAGAGGATTATTGAGCTGGGTATTGGCAGAAACAAATGAAGACTTTATTGTCAAACTGATGGGACTGTTTTCATTGAATTACCTTTATAGTCCAGATGGAGATTTCAGGTATGTTCTTGGTTGCTTTACCGCTGAGAAAACTGGACATATTCTTACATATGCACACACACACACACAAACACAGAGGAATACCATTTTCAATAAATATGGATTGTCCTGAGTCATCAAGTTTTCAATTCCATCACTCTTTTAATGATCAAACGATGTAGTTCTAGCTGGTTAGACCAGCATACTCCAAGGCATACTCCTGGGTCCCCAAGCCTGGACTCTTTCCAATTTGCACCTGATATTCTCTGGAATTAAGTAAGCAGGATGCATCCCTCTACTATAGATAGTGGCTGTACTATCTGTCCTGGATGAATTATTCGACATGCATGCAACCTTCAACAACTACCAATAACTAGACATTTTGCATCTATTGAAGACACATATAGTTACAATATGAAATTTTCTGGAACCTACAAAGGCAACTACAAAAAACTGGGTCAAGGTAAGAAGACCTGTAGGTCAGAGCACTCAACTTGCAAGCGAGGACCCAGGTTTGACAGGAAGGGCAAAACCTGAGGCAAGTTTCCTTACTCCACATTCCTGTTTACCTTGCAGTAAGTAGGAACCCGATTGTTAGTCATTTGGCAGCTTGTTATCCAAGGGTATTAATCCTTTCAAAAAAATTATAATAATTTGGTCACTCAATCCACGACTGTTTGTGGTATACTGCTGCATGCAATTGGCTCCTGCGTTTCGCCCACAAAATTCACAGTACATTCACTTTAAAGGATATCTGTGCAGCACTTTGAGACATGTCAACATTGTGATAAGGTGCAATATCAAATGCAAGGATTATTATTATAAGAAATTCCATTGCTCTTGAAACCACGTTAATGCTATAGTAAAGTGGAATACATTTGTTTTCACTAATCTGTAACCCCATTAAAAAGGTTATATAATCAGATTACAGATGACAAGGTTTGTTATTCATATAACTGTCATACTTTATCATTCAGAACACTTTATATAAGACCAACATCAGCTCTGTAGAAAGATTTAATATTTCAAAGAGCATAGTTAATTTTAAAAAATACTAGGGACTGGTAAGTGAACTGTATTTCCGTCATTAAGCTTAAAGAGGTTCCCGACAATGTCTGAGCAAATTCTATCAACCTAAAGCACAAATCATGATTTTATATTCAGTGCAGTGTTGGGCATTATTTATCCACAGTACTTATTATTTTTACACTTGGGAAATACTATTTGCTTACCATATATTTTTTCTCAAGATACATTGCACCATTTGACTCATCAAGAAAATAATAATCCTTGCATTTCATATAGCGCCTTGGTTCGACCATTTCTATATCAAGACATTTTTAATCCTCGTGTCCCCAGTTTTTCTTTATGCTACTTGTATCCTTATTTTCCGAGTGTCTGTATCTATCTCGTTTTTGAACATTCCAACCAGATCCTGATTTATGGTGAGTGTATCCCATTCTCGCAATTCTTTCTGTGAAACGTTTTCCAATTTTATTTTTAACCAGTTTAACTCTAATTTCAAGATTGCGTCCCTCATTTTGGATCCCTCCACAAGGCATCTATTATCCAGCATTATTTTAAACACCATCTAACCACTTAGTAGTAGTAGTATGTTAAATTTACACTGCATTTCACCACAGTTAATCCCTTCATCCCTGATATTAATCTGCTGAATCGTTACTTGACTCTTTCCAAGATGAGTATATTCTTTAGTTCATTGGATCAATATGAAATAACAATCTTGATTAAAAACCAGACTTCAGTTGAGAATCCATGTCACTTATCTATTTACCATAGATCAGTACCATATTTAGTTATATTACTCCTCCATGAGAATGGGATGAGAGAAATCTTGCTGGGGTTTATCTAACCAGATCCAGTCATCTGAGATACTGCTGACTGTTGACCATCATGGAGACTTAAGAGTTGTCTACAAATTAGTCACTACACTTTACAGTAAATCCCGTGAAGCACCTTGAGACACCCTCCCGATATGAAAGACACTATCAAATACAGGGATTGTTTTGTTTTGGAGGTGCAGACATGTCCCAACAGATAAATGATTTTTACAGAACAGTTAACCTGAAACTTGCCATTGCCTTCTATGAGTAAGCAGAATTATTAAGTTGATGAGTTCATTGTATTATCTTGAATGATTGCATGATGGACTTGTGATATAAAATTTTAAGGAATATCATACTTTTCCATGGAATTAGATCTTTAATTTCAGCAAACCCCAGAACTTGTGATGCAGCTTTATGAGTGCCAAACCTCCATTGGTGACATTGAGTAGTTTGCCATTTAGGAGATGAGATTCCTGTTGCAAGCAATGGCATTTATTAGCTGCACCTTTGGCCTCGAAAAGTAAACTGAGAATAATCCTGCTTAAAAATGGGCTATTGTTTTATGCAACGTCACATATTTACGTTAGCCAGTAAAAGAGAACCCAAGAATAAAAAAAACACAACTCTTCTGCAAACAAAATACACTTTACGTATATTTATGAGAAAACATTATCACCCATTTCCCAAGTATGACTCAATACTGGAGATGGTCATTAACTACCTATCCTCAATCGTGTGAATATGGAATTCGTTCAAAAAACATAAGGTAACAGAAATGATTGTTTCATGATCCACCAACAATTAAGCCCTCCAACAATACCCCATTATTACCCCCACCCCCCCATTCCCTCAGCTTTGCACTCACGTTCAACACAGTGAGCACAAGACGTAAAGTACAGCACCTCATAGCCTAATCCCCATCACACTTCTCAGTATATCACTTCATTCCACATACTAAACTCCCTAGAGCAGCAAACTCCCCCACTAAGAATGTGTTTACAGTACATGTTTTTAACAGACCGATGTCAAACCGGAACATGTGCATTATATAAAGGAATTGACCCTTGAAGCTGGGGAACAAGTGTTCCACATGTGAAGATGGCCTACTTAATCATCTTCTACACCAGTGTCCAGTACTATCCTGTGTAGTAATCTCTGAACTGTCTGAAAAGTTGTCTAATGATATCATTGTACAAATGTACAAAAAAGTTCAATGTGAAATGGCTGAATACAAAATTGATACAAGCTACAGCAGAGGGGGAGAATCTGTGATATGACAATTATCACGGGTGTTAACTATCACATCACATACCAAAATATTTCTCCAATATTACAGTAGGTTTAGTCTCTGTCCCCTCTTCTCACATGGAACTATACTCAAATATCAGAATCAGGCCAGTGTTTTGGTTTACACTTGGAAATATAGTACAAATCAGCACACTGGAGCCCATTCCTGTTCATTTTATTGCGAACAGTGAGCACAAGCTTCCATAACATTTTATGTCAATTCACATGAGGACTATGAGTAGCATGGGACCGATTTCAGGAATCTGTAGGATATTCACTTCTCTCCAGATACTTGTATGCCTTATTTGATACCCGCTATATGGAGACTAATATTACAAGACGTTCAGCTAACCTCCATCTCCCATGACTGTAGCACTGTACTTTACATATGAGTTAAGGGACAGAGGATAGATCTGTTCTAATTAGGTAAAGATGTGTGAAGCAACATTATAATTTAACTTAACATCAAAACTAGAAACAAATTCTCTCTTGTTCTTCCCTCACCCCGCACATGTTTCTACTTAACTCAGTGCCACAAACCAATAATTTTAGGATGATATCTTAAAACCAGCTCTGGACAAAAAGGTAGGAAGTGGTGAAGAGTGTGCGTTTTATCGCTGGTATCGACAACAACAACTTGCATTTATATAGCGCCCTTCACACGGGGTAGCATCCCGGAGTGCTTGAAAGGCTGAATGAGAAACTCTTATTTTTGTGGTTGGGGATGAGTGAGAATCTCACAGCTGTTTGTCAGATAAAATCCAGAAGGCAAAACAATAAACAAAAAAAGGAATTTAGAAGGCAATCTACAGTTCACAACANCCCCCTTCCAAACAATGGTGGGAACTTGAACTGAAAAAGGAAGAGGCTGCTTATCGGGAATGGTGTGCTACCAAATACAAAGTCCCTTATTACCGCTTTTTGAAAAAGGCAGGCAGTAAAAGACATCCCTCTCCATCACTGCAGCAGAGGTAATATATCACCTCAAGACATGCAGCGTGTACTGAAGCCTGAACCACCACCTACAAAATCATTAGTTGTTGCGAGTTTGGAACCTCAGCAGAAAGTGTCCAGTTCTATGTGCTCCCAGCAAAACTTTGATCAATTCCATGAGACCACGAGCTTTACGATGCTTTACGGTGCAAGCATCATAAAGCTCATGGACACCCACATTATTCTGTTATGTCATATATTGCATACTTTTATATATATATGTATATATAAAGAAGACACATAATCTCTACACCACCACCAAGAGGGAATGATTTGAAAAGATATGGTGCACATAAGAGATGAAAAGAAAATTGTAGAAAAGTCAGTCAGGTTATGCAGTTTTCTTCTCCTTTTCCTTGTTTGCTTTCCTCTTCAGTTGCAGGGATTTGAGTTCTGTCATCGCTTCCAACGTCCTGGACACCCACACGATCTAAGAAGACAACAGCAAAAGGTTGGACTGTGGAAATAAAGGACAATGCAAGCTCCTTGTGTAATTTGCAGAACAACAACAGCTGGGAAATTAATTCATACCACAATCATCATTGTGTTCAGCAGAAGTGGGGCGGAGAACACGAGTGAGATGAACATCCCACCGGAATCAAAGTACTGATACTTGGAATATAACCTGGAAAACAAAATTGAACGTTTCACTTTTTTTAAATCAAAATTGCTTAAGCTGTCAGCTAAAAAACAACAGAAATAAATTAACATTGCATTTTGTTATCCTACTGGTATTTTGATCTTTAAGAACAGAAATAATAATTGATAACTTAAAGAACAAACTACAATAAGAGATACAGGTTACAAATTATCCATGTTTCCAAATTAGAATGCTCTCCTTTCATTACAATAAAACCTGTTATATATTCACTTCCACTGGAAGTTGAAAACATTTCCTGCTCATTCGCGTAATAGCAAATACTAGATTCAAGTTGAGAGGATTAAAAATTATATCAATAATAATAAATTGTACATCTGATCCAGCACCTTTCATATCAAGCTAAAGTCTAAAAGTACTTAAAACGTAATAGCTCAGAGGTAATTGCAGCCAGAGTGAAGAGGTGGCTGCAGGACAATAGAAGAGGCCATAAAGAAACCAGAACATGCCAAGAGATGTGGTAAAAGTGTGAAAGTCCAGAATAGGCACATTAGAGACAGAGATACTGAGTGACATCTGATAGTGGCTCATAACATAAACACATCCTACCACAGAAAACACTCGCTACTTGCTTTCAGTTTGTAAAACCTGCGCTTCAGACTGGTATTATTACATAATATATAAAAGGAAAGAAATGTACTTATTATTCCAGATACAGGTATCCAACACACATGGAAACCAGTGTTATGTTTTGCTCCACCCCCTCAGCCTGGGCTGCCAGTCAGTTGGGTGAAGCACATTGAAACACAACGTTAAAGGCACTGCATAAATGTAAACTGTTGTTTCGAGTATCCAACCCAGACAATAGATCCACATATGCATAGAAATTTCCCTTTGTCTGGAAATGGAGTGCACAATCTCTTTGCGGAGACATACACTCTTGTTTCTTATCCTTTAAATAAGACAAGAAACGAAGGCAACGGGTGGTGATTAGGTGGGAGGGGGAAGGAGGAGGAGGGTGAAATCGTCTACAAAGCAAAATTAAAGTAATGAAGAAAAGAGAATAACCATAAGAATGTTGTCATCTTTACAGTAAGAGTGAAAGGGGTACATCTGAGGTCACTCTGGTCCTGTGCCATACGCCTCCTCCTGAAGGAATGGACTCATGTTACTGCTGAACGCTGACGTTCTGCCTTCGTGAAACAATACAGATGTAACTATCCAGGGGTACTTCCATTTCATTGTAATCGGCAGCTTGAAAACTTTCAACCCATTTGATCCCACGCAGCTATAGCTTTACACCGGGGTCCACAGCAAATCAATACAATACTTGATTAAACACTGGTTTTGCTTCGTGCGGAGACAAACTGATATTGACGTTTTTAAGCGGATATTCAAACTGCCAAAATGCGAGCGGTTAACTCAATATTACTGGCAAAGATGGTGCCCTATGAATTGCACATTAATAGTTCTAACACTATAAAAGTTCCTACTGCTTTTACCTCCAGTTCCTCGCTGCCACTTCATTAATATATTCGGCACCACAAATCAGCCCAACTGTAACAGAGAGAGAGAGAGAGAGAGAGAAACAGTAAACTTTAGCTGCCAAGTTAAACTAGTTCAGGCGTCTTTCACAGTTTGACCAACTTGTTGTTCTCACCAATTAACTGCCATTTTAATCCAAATAATCTCCGTACAACATTCATCCACTTTGCAGTAGTACTGGAAGGACATATTGCATACAGTGAAAAGCATTCACATTTATAACTGTAATCAACTAGTTGAGCTACAATAATAAGCTACAGAAGCTAGAAATGTTCACACTGGAGAAGAGAAGGTGTGGGGAAATCACATAAAAATGTAGATTTTTAGGACAGTTAACGTAGGGAGAGGGATTTGGGGAGTTATAGGGAATGGGACCCATAGCGGCTGAGCTGTTGGTCACTGATGGTTAGATGAACCAGGAAGGGTTTTGAAGATCAGCATAATCCACTGAAGCCTAGGAAGGACAGGTGTACAATGTGGAAGAGAAAATGGGCTGCAGATTTATGGTGAGTTGAAACCTGTGCAAAGTGAAGCTTGGGAGGTCAACAAGTGGAGCATGGGAGAAGTCTAGCCTTGAGGTGACAAAATGATTCATGTCTTGAGGGACGGTTTGAGCTGTGGAATGGATTTGATAGGGACACAAGCAGCCAAATTCCCCGGTGATTTTGGTCAAGGCTCGTAGATGGGAGTCAAACAAAATGGTTATGTATTACACAATAGCTCAGTTTGTTGAAGTGGGCAGCCAGACTAGTTAGCTAGCTCTCCCCAGCTCCCTGTTATCTCTAGGTCCAATTCAACCACACCACTGTCTATTTATACAACCCCTTTCATGTCGGGAAGACATCTCAAAGCACTTCACACAATTGACTGGGACCCTGACCTGGGGGGGGGGAGGGAAGAGAGGGAATAGAGAGGGAAAAGGCAAGGTGGAGAGACTCTGGGATAGAATTCAAGGAATGGTCGGCAGTGTCAAATGTAACAGAGATTGAGGAGGAGCAAAGAGCTCGATGATAGACAGATAGGGGGCTATTAGTCACTGTAACCAGGCAGCTGTCACTGAGCTGAGCCAAAATGCAGTTCCTAGGCTGGGGAAGAATATTAGCAAACATCACTTCTACAGCAACCAAAGAAAATAAAGTGTACACACAGCTGAAAAATGTCTATAAATTTCTGTGATAGCTTCACGTTTATGAACAAATACAAAGTTTTATTGACATAAATCAAGAAAACAGCAACAACACCCAATCATGTTATAACCAGCAAAATATGCAGCCTTGAGTATGACTTCTAGGAATCTGAATTCAATTATTTAACAAAATAGCCCAGCATCCTGTTTGTCTTATTTATTGTTCTCTCATACCGTTTTGACACAACTAGCAATGAGTCAACTCACACCCCTGGATCTTTCTCAGCTTCCCCCTTGGCAACTTCTATCCCATCCATGGAGTACATGTGTTTCCTACTCTTACTTCCAAAATGCAGTATTTTGTATTACAGTGGTGGCTGAAAGTTGGAGAAGAGGAGGCACAAAATGTGACATTTTAAGGGAATGGAGTCAGATTAACAGAATTAGTCTGGATGTTGCCGAAGAATGTGAGACAGCGGGGAAAACTGCATTCTCAAACTCTATGGGACGCTTCACAGCCTTGTTAGGATGATTTTTCTTAATCAATCACAGGAATAGGGTAAAATGACATAAAAGTGCAGGAATGCCAATGGTTTGCATGTCACATGTTTGTGCCAATACAGTAAGTGGACATTAATAACCAGCTGTAGAATGCAGCATAGCAGTGTCCTCCAGTGGCAACAAAATAGTACTGCAAGATCACAAAACCAAGCACATCGGTCATGTTCATAAAGTTTATTTGGGCAGTACAAGCCCTAAATACATCTACAGACTTTCTGTCCACTCCACCTGAGTGGAGAATAAAATGCTTATTTTATCGGCACATCCATCATTTATTTTGTAAAATTGTGGATATCATTTGGACGCCCAGCAAGTGAGCACTCGGCTTGGAACCAAGTTTTTTGAGTTTAAATCCCACCAGGGCTAGACAGTATTTTTGAAGACAATAAAATGAATAAAATGTCAAAAGTGTTTTCCCGGGGGAAAGATAAACACAGCTGAATTGGCTCCGAAAAGAGAAGTCGGTGAGGTCATCGCAAATCTATATAGTGCTAATGGCTGCCCAGGCAGTCAACAAAATACAGTCATTGCCCTTTACAGTATATAACTTGCATTTATATAGCGCTCTTCACGCAAGGCAATGTCTTGGAGCACTTCATAGTGTCACTGACGCAGAGCCGGGGTGAGGGAGGAGGCTATTGTAAGCACGGTCGTGATCTAAAAAGAGGGGAAGGGGCAAGATTGAGGGAGAGAGTTCCAAAACTTCAGGGTGAAGTGGCTGAAAGCTCGGCTGCTGATGGTGGAGCGGAGGGGACGAGAGACAAGCAGGAGGCCAGAGCCAGTCGAGTTGAGGCAGCGAGTAGTGTAGTGGGTAGAGAGGAGATTAGAAAGGGAGGGAGGTTCCAGGGCATGAAGGTGAGTTGTAGACGAGTGAGAGGATCTTGAAGTTGAATGTTATAGCTCAGAAAAAAGGCCACTCGAACCAATTAGACCATGCTCTGTACTCCAAATGAGTCTTTGCCCTCCTTGCTAATCCATTCGCCAATACCCCTCTATTCCCGTCTCTTAAATCACAAGATTTACTGTGTGCAGCCACTGCATATATTCGTAGGCAAATGAGGCAGCCACAAACAGCTATGAAGAAAGTGACCAATTTTATCTGGAGGATTGTTGGTCTGGACATCGTAAGAAACTCCCTTCTCTTTTCAAATAGTGCCATGGGATCTTTAACAGTCACCTGAACAGACAGATGGGACCTGAGGTTAATGTCTCGCCAAAGGACAACACCTCCGACAATGCAGTGCTGCATCTCCAGTCTAGTGTTAGCCTAGACTTTTAGTTCAAAATCTCAATGTGGGACTTGAACCTACAACTTTCTGACTCGGAGACAATAGTACTACCAACTGAGTTAAACTGACACCTATACTAGACAAGCAGAAACCATACATTTGTGGAAGTCTCAGTAGTTTAGTTTGAGTGTCCAACATGCTGAACGGGTTTCCACGCGTGTCCGGTCCTCGGTTAACCAAAGAAAAGTCCAACTTACCCATAAAAAGGAAATGGGCAATCTGGAGTCTGTAGAATCGGATTGTAACTAAGGCTAGTAGAAAGCAAAGGGCATGAAAGGCTATTAGCCCTATCAGCCATGGCTCAGACCACTCGACCTGCAACATATAAACAAAGGCCTTAAGAACTAATTTAATCTTTAAAATATCCACAACAATTTACATTTATGTAGCAACTTGCGCGTCGGGGAGATTTTGCAAAGTGCTGTGGGATCTACGTGCGCAAACTGTGGAACAAATGGCAGGTCTCACTCACTCACTGTGTTAACTAACTCTCAGCTCTGGAGATAGTTAAATTTGAAAAACAAGTCACGTCTGCATGAAAGTTTTAAATACAGAGCTTGTGGTACTCAAAAATTAACTGTAAATATGCTGTAGAGACCACATAATTGCGTGTAACCATATTACTTAATTATGTACTGTATTGAGAAAGTCAATGGTTTCTAGCACTATCCCTAGGGATATGTTTATATTGTTTATACCCCAGTCTGAAAAACATTCATGTACTCCTGCTATGGGTTTTCTGTACTTCAGCCAAATTTTTATCCTTGTTGCCACATTTTCTTTAATATTGTGGGTCTTAATATGGCACCATACCAAACATTTTTTGTAAACCCAAACAGGCAGCATTTATGCATTTCAATTATGAGTACACTCGGGGTTTTTTGGTCGGCCAGGAGTCTGACACGTGCAGAAACCCATCGCCATGCTCACCAAGAGTATCCAAACTAAACTGAGAATACCAAGCTTCAAAGCACTCTTGTTACCTTTGTCAAATACAATTTGTCTTTTATAAATCCATACTGCTGTCACTACTTAACCCACGTTTTTCTGAGTGATTTATCCTGTACCCTTGGGGCTGAACAAGCTCCAAGGTGACCTGCTGGGCAACGGGATGTTGGTATCTGGCAGTCTGGTAGCCGGTTCCTGAGGCAGACAGATCCACACTATCCCACTACACTCACTGCTGATGACAGCCCAGCCATCACCACGCTTAAGAGTCTGCCCTGGAATACTGTGGGCTCCGCAGGCTCGGGCCGGCTCGATTCCGACATTTCATTGCCAGTTCAGCTCCAAGGACCGCGGTTACCTCCCCTCCCCCTAAGGAGGATAGTCACTAGTTGGTCGTTCGACATCCGACAACCATGGGTTTGAGCCCTCACTCGGTGGATGGTAGGTACAAGGAACTCCCTGCGAGCTTCCCGGTGTAAGCAGTGTTCTCCCTCCAGGGAGAGAGTACACATTCCAGACAGGGAAATATCCATGTGTAGGTGGTGTATACATCTATCTGGTTTGGATACTATTAATGATGATGATAATAATAATATAGCATTTTATGTAGGGAGGACGTCTCAAGGCGCTTCATAGGATATACTGTGTAGTGATTATGTATTCTGTAGCGGTACAGTATAGATAGCGACTGTATTTTGACGGTTTTCCACATGTGTTAAAATATCTGTTTGACCAAAAGCCCAAATACACTGCATAAATTTATCCTCCTGATGTGAAAGACCTTTATAGATGTAAATTTGGATGTTACACTGACTGAGCTATGGTTACCAGCCTAATTCTTTGTCCTTTCTTGAATAAAGTTGTTACTTTGGAGACTCTTTTTTTCTCACGTTGAAGGATTGCGGTTATAGCTTTTGTTTTGCTTTCCTGACTTCTCTCAGCATTCCAGCAAAGACTGTTGATGTTTCCACTTTGCGTTCTGTCATCATTTACACTTCTACTTCCTTTTCTAGTTATCCCTTCGAATATCGTATTATTCATCACCACCAAAAATGCCCCCATTTAAACCCATTTAAGCAAAACACACCCATGTCAATTGCACCCGTGTTAATAGCCTTTAAATCTGAACTAAGACTGTTAGAACAGAAAGCATTTCTTCACAGAGGGGTGTGAAGATGTGGAATGCTCTGTCCCAGAAAGCTGCAGAGGTGGGATTAATAGGGATGCGTAAAAGAGATAATGACAAACACTTGGACAGTAGAGCTATAAAGAGGTATTCTATCCAGCAGGTGGGTATTGGATGAAAGGATCTAATAAACTGACGGAGAACTGGCTTGGTGGGCAGAATGGCCTTCCGCCTATTCCTTTTCTCCTGTTATTATGTTAGTATGTATAGTCACAACAAAAACAACAACAACAACTTGGATTTATATAGCGCCCTCCACGCCGGACGGCATCTCAGAGCGCTTCACAGTAACGGATCCCGGAGCCACCCAGGGGGAGGTGGGGGAAGGTGACCAAAGGCGCGGTCGAAAAGAAAGGTCTTCAGCAGTGACCTGAAAATAGGAAGGGAGGGAGTGAGGCGAAGGGAGTGAGGAAGGGAGTTCCAGCGCCTCGGGGCATAATAATAATAATAATAATCCTTGCATTTGATATAGCGCTTTTCACGTCAGGACATCCCAAAGCGCTTCACAGAACACACTGTAAAGTGAATTGACTGTATATTTGTGGGCGAACGCGGCAGCCAATTGCGCACAGCAATGTCCCACAAACAGTCGTAGATTGAAAATGACCAATTTATTATTGTTTTTGGTTTTGGAGGGATTATTATTAGGCGTGTGGAGTAAGGAAACTTGCCCAAGGTTTCGCCCTGTCTGGAATTGAACTCAGGTCTCTCGCTTGCAAAGCGAGTGCTCTAACCACTGAGCTACAGGACTCCACGTATAGTGGCTGAAGGCACAGCCGTCGATGGTGGAGCGGAGGATTCGGGGGACAAGGAGGAGGCCAGACCCAGTGGAGCGAAGGCAACGGGCACTGCTGTGAGGAGAAAGGAGGTCAGAGAGGTAGGGGGGGTGCAGAGGAGTGGACGGATTTGAAGACAAGAGTGAGGATCGATCCTCTCTGCGACAGGGAGCCAGTGCAGTCTGGCAAGGACTGGAGTAATCAGGGAGCGGAGTTTGGTGCGGGTGAGAATGTGGGCGGCAGCGTTCTGGATGACCTGGATTTTATGAATGGTAGTGGAGGGGAGGCCGGCGAGGAGGGCATTTGAATAGTCCAGCCGAGAGGTCACAAAGGCATGGACCAGGGTTTCAGCGGCTTTTGGGGTCACATCACTGAATCCCAAAGAGCAAAGCAGTGAAATCTTGTCGTTTGTTTACAAAAAACTGACCTAAGATGATTATATTATTATAATACAGCTGCTGCGCACATGTATGAGGCCTCACGATTCACCAGCTGTGGCTCGAGTACTTCTGCACCTACCGCCTCTTGCTTTCACAGGCCAAAACTGACTGTTACTCCAAAGTCATCCTGGAGGCAAACAACAATCAAACGATGCTGTTTTTCACCGTCCATAACCTCCTCCGTGCACCCCCTCAAGCCCCCACTATCCTCACATCAAACGACAAATGCGAAGGGGTCTTAGACTTCTTCGCCTCAATGATTGAAAACATCCGTTTGGTGCATCGTCCTCTCCCCCCCCACACCCCCACCTTGTTCCCTTCCACCTCACCCAGACCACCTTCTCCCTTCGCCACAGCTCCTGACACTCCCCCCTCCTTACACTCCTCTGCCCCCATTTCTCCCTTCTCCCTCTCAACCACAATCACCTGGATGACGTTCACCACCTGTGCCTCGACCCCCTCCCCACCCAACTGCTGGACACTCAACTCCGCCTGCTCTTCCCCCTCTGTCCGACACGGTCAACCAGTCTTTCTCTTTAGGATCTGTTCCACTTCCCCTGAAAACCGCTGTTATCACACCCGTCCTCAAAACCCCACCCTCGATCCCTCTAATCTCTCAGAATCCTCCCACTGCCTCTCCTTCCTCTTCCATCTTAATGGTTCCGCACTCGCATGGTTCAAGTCCTACTTAACCAACCACCTCCATTTTATCTCGGCAAATGGTTTCCCCTCTGGCCCCTGGCCCCTGCCCCCCTTGGGGTACCCCAGGGCTCCATCCTTGGCCTCTTCTTTTCCCTATCTATATGCTCCCTCTGGGCAATGTCATCTGCAGACACGGGATAAACTTCCACAAATTACACACAAATCTACTTTGCCTCCTCCAGTACCAACTCCAGCTGATGTTCTATCAGTTTGTCTGGCAGACATCAGGTCCTGGATGATTGTAAACTTCCTGCAGTTGAATATGGACGAGACGGAAGCCATTCTCCTTGGCTCCCCCATCAACAACTTCATTCCTGTGGATCTGAACTCCCTGGGCTCTCCCTCAGACTCACTGAACCAATGCACAACCTAGGTGTCCGGTTCGACCCCCAGCTATCCTTCCTTCCCCACATCCGGTTCCTGATCAGGACCCCTTTCTTCCACTTCCGGCACATTCCCCGCCTCCAATCGTACCTTACGCCAAATGTAGCCGAAACCCTCACGCATGCGTTTGTCAGCTGCTGCCTGGATTACTCAAACGCACCCCTCGGCGGTCTCCTCAGCTCCACTATTGGCGGGTGGGCCTTCTGCCACTCTGCCCCCACCCTCCAGAACTCCATCCGCCATCTCTCCGCCTCACCCCCTCCCTTGTCACCTTCAAGACCCATCTCAAGACCCTCCTCTTCGACCGTGCTTTCGATCTCACTGTTTCCACCCCCGCCCTCCAACCTCCCCGACCCTGACCCCCAGCTCGGGTCCATAACTCTGTTTGTCCAGCGCCTTGGGACGTCCTCCCGACGTGAAAAGGCCCTTTACAGATGTAATTTTGTTGTTGTTATTGTTGTATTCAAAAAATCCAGCTCATTCAGAACGCTGCCGCCCGCACACTGACCCAGACCAATCTCCGCACCCACATCTCACCAGATCTGGCCGGGCTGCACAGGCTCCCCATCACTGAATGGATCGACTTCAAGATCCTCACACTCATGTTCAAATCTCTTTACTCCCTGGCACCTCCCTCACTCCCCAATACATCCGCTCGACTGCCTCCTGCTCATCCCTCGCACCCACCGCCCCACCAACGGAGGTCGTGCTTTCAGCCACTACACCCCAAAACTATGGAACAGTCTGCCTTGCCCCCCCTCTCTCCCCCTTTACAGGTCCCACCCGAAAACCTTCCTCTTCGCCACTGCCCTGAGACCCTGCCCCGCGTGGAGGGCGAATAAATAATAGTCCTTGCGTTTGACATGGTGCCTCACGACGTCACTGAGAGGTCTCAAAGCGCTAAATCAAATACAAGTGATTGTTATTACATCAAAGATATTGTTATTATTATTACTGTAAGTTCATTGAATCCCACTCTGGGGAGATCAGGTCCAATAGCTCAGGTATCTCACTCCACACAGCGCCCTCAAGGGGCGGGGCCAGAGCGCCCTCACGGGGCGGGACCAGATCGCCCTCACGGGGCGGGGCCGGATCGCCCTCACGGGGCGGGACTGGTCCTGTTGATTGACAGCGGTCAGTCCGCCTGCGCGGCTTCAGGAGGCCCCGCGGCGCCACCTCCCCAGCCGTCTCCTCTCCCCCGAAACGACCCTTAAACGGCGCCTGTTTCGGGCTCTCACGCCGGCCGGAGAGCCACTCACCGACAGCAGGAAGCTCCAGACGCCGGTGATGCGGAGGTTACTGATCCCGTCTATCGGTGTCGCCGCCGCCGCCGATTCCTTCACCCGCTCCATCGCCGACCACGTGACGGGGGAGACCGCGGACGGAAGTCCCGCCCTCCCCTCTCGCCATTGGCGCGGCGGTAGCGCGTCACTCATAGGGCGGTGCCCCTGCTCGGGATAGGTGGAAACAGCTGTCAATCACACCCAGCAGCACATTGGGTGCCACCCCTTAGCCGCAGTGTATGCACTCAGACTGACACGTGTGTGTGTGTGTATATATATGGTACCTGCACATGTATGGATCACACCTGCACATACATATGTATGGCACCTACACGTATGTGTATGACACACACATATACATGTATGGTAACTGCATGACGTTGGGACGTCCTCCCGACGCGAAAGGCGCTCCATGTATGGAATCTTGTTGTTGTTGTTGTTGTTGCACATGGGTATGTGAGGCACTGACACAGGTGTACGTGTGGCACCTGTACAAGGAAATGGCACTGTGTCTGGAATGACATTCACAGTACAGTCAGTCAGTCACCAGCGGTCGAGTTTCCAGCATTTCTGTCCCCACTCTCCGGAGCTCCATTACGGAGACCCTTCGCCTCGTCCCTTCCCTCAGAGTTTTTGCCGCAAAGTACAGTCAATCCACTTGACAATATTTTGTGTGAAACGCTTTGAGACGTCTCAATGACGTGATAAGGCGCAATATCAAATGCAACGATTAGTATTACTACAAGACCTTACTCGTTAACCGCACCTTAGCTCATGTTTCCCCCCACTCAACTCTCTCACCACACTTCCCTCTCCTGGCCCCAAGAACCACCTCGGATGCAAACCCAGGACTGTTCAGCCCCATTAGATATCCTCCCGATGTGTTAAGTGCTATATAAATATAAATGTGTATTGCATTGTACAGAGCACAGGGAGCCCTCCTCAAACTTCAAAGTGTCCAGATCGTGGTACATTGCATTAGACTGAGTGTTGCACATGTGTGTGTATGGCATGGAAATGTCTCTATGTCTATAGTGAATTAATAACAAAATTACTCTTGTATAGCACCTTTCATGTCTGGAGGACATCTCAAGGCATTGAAATTACTGTTTCAACTCGAGTTGTGGGTCGGGTCTCAAAGGCGCAGTCGAAGAGGAGGGTCTTGACACAGGTCTTGAAGGAGGCAAGGGATGGGTTGAGGCCGAGAGACTGCGGGATGGAGTTCTAGAGGGTGGGGGCAGAGTGGCTGAAGGTTTGCCTGCCAACAAAATAAAGAGTATTAGACTCTACCTCTCTGCCTCCACCCTGAACACCAGGACTACTGGCGTTCTGACCAACTGCCTGTTCGACAACAAGTCCTGGAGGAGGCCCAACTTTCTCCAACTCAACGTCAATAAGACCGAGGCCCTCTTGATTGGCTCGTGCCAGCACCTCCGCACCTCAGGCGCTGGCACATCAATCTCCACAGCTGCACACTCAACCTCACTAAGCCAGACAGGAACCTGGGTGTCTTGTTTGACCCTGAACTGTCCTTTCTTCCCCACATCCGCACCATGACCAGCACTACCTACCACCACCTCTGTAACATTGCCAGACTCCGTCACTGCCTCACCCCTCAGGCTGCTGAAACCCTCACCCACGCATTTGTCACATCAAGGCTTGATTACGGAACTCCCTCATCATTGGCCTTTCCAACTCTTCCCTTCACAAGCTGCAGATCATCCAAAACTCTGCAGCTCGTGTACTCTCACCCACCAGGCTCCGTGACCCCATCATTCCCACCCTCACCCGACTTCACTGGCTCCCCATCCCCCAGAGGATCGAGTTCAAGATCCTCATCTTCACCTTTAAGGCCATCCATGGCATTGCCCCCTCCTACTGCTCTGACCTGCTGACTCCCTACCAACCTGCCCGCTCCCTCCATTCAGCGGGCTCTGGCCCGCTTCATGTCTCCCGCCTGACCTGCCCTACCATCGGTGGCCGGGCTTTCAGCCCCCACATTCTGGAACTCCATCCCACTGTCCCTTTGCCTCGCTTCCTCCCTTGCCTCCTTCAAGACCGGTGTCAAGACCCTTCTCTTCGACCTTTGGTCTCCCTCCCACCTCTCTGCCTTCCCTCACACCTACACCGCCCCTCCCCCATGCTCGGGCCCCGACACCTGACTTTTCAGAACTATGGGACGTCCTACCGACGTGAAAGGCGCTCTTTAAATTTAATTTTGTTGTTGTTGTTAGACTTAGGTTGGCAAAAGCCAAAGTCTGAGGGAGAAGAGAATAGAAGGGAGTAAGGAATGGATAGAGACTCAACAACAGCAACAACTTCCATTTATATAGTGTCCCTCATGCAGGATACTGTGCCAGAGCGCTTATGGGTCAGAAGACTTGTTTCTGTATTGTATACGCAAAGGCTTGGGGACCCCAGAGTGTGAGTTGAGGTACTGCTGGTGTGATTTTAGAGGAAACTAGATAGTCACAAACAGAGCTTTGGTGTAAAACCACTATCCCAAAGACTTTAGAAAAATCCTTGAAATTCTTACACGATTGATTGGGATAATCTGGCATGCACTGCTGTGGAATTTGCTGTGGATCAGTTTGATCTTTAAAAGGGAGATCATTCAATAACTTTTGATCAGCCTGGTACCTGATACATGAGGAAAACCATCACCCTGCCTCAGTGTCTAAATCAGACTGAGAGTTCCACATTTCTATGTCACCTAAACATGGAAATGTTCCTGTGTCTGAAATGGAGAGCACACTCTTTCCCTGGAGGGACACACCATTTTCAGAGAAAATTTGGTGCAGATTAGCAAGATCCAAGGTTTGGTGACCCCATAGTGTGCATTGGAGTATTGCTCGGGTTAACCAACTGAAACCGCACAGCATAATTGGTAAACTTCCCACTACTTGTCCAGCCAGCACCACCCTACCTGGGTTAACAGGAGCAATATTTTGGAGTACTGCCGATCCATCTGGCGCAGGAAACGTATGACCGAGATCGCCACAGGTAATTCTCGCAGTTTCAGCTTTCAGCTGGAGAATAGTCACTAGTTGGTCATTTCACATCTGATATACATAGGTTTGAAGCCTCACTAGGTGGATGGAAGGTACCAGGAACTCCCTGTGAACATTCCCAGTCTTCAAAGAGCCGACACAGACACAATGGGCTGAATGGCCTCCTTATGTGCTGTATAATTCTATGATTCTATGATTCTGGTGAAAAGCACAGGACAGTGAATCAATCACTTGCCTTAAACTGTTACTTTTGTACAGTAACCGTTGATGGTTCTGCAATACTGTGTTCCTACCAGCAAATGGTGCTGTTGGATTGCGAAATAAAAGTTCTGGTCTGGAGCACAACATGGCAAAGTACAAAATCCACTAATAATAATAATAATAATAATAATCCTTGCATTTGATATAGCGCTTTTCACGTCGGGAGGACGTCCCAAAGCGCTTCACAGAACACACTGTAAAGTGAATTGACTGTATATTTGTGGGCGAACGCGGCAGCCAATTGCGCACAGCAATGTCCCACAAACAGTCGTAGATTGAAATGACCAATTTATTATTATTTTTGTTTTTTTGGAGGGATTATTATTAGGCTCTGTGTGGAGTAAGGAAACTTGCCCAAGGTTTCGCCCTGACTGGAATTGAACTCAGGTCTCTCACTTGCAAAGCGAGTGCTCTAACCACTGAGCTACAGGACTCCACTACAATAATAATCCCTCCAAAAACCAAAAAACAATAATAAAATTGGTCATTTTCAATCTACGACTGTTTGTGGGACATTGCTGTGCGCAATTGGCTGTCGCGTTCGCCCTCAAATATACAGTAAATTCACTTCACAGTGTTTTTCTGTGAAGCGCTTTGGGACGTCCTCCCAACGTGAAAAGCGCTATATCAAATGCAAGGCTTATTATTATTATTATTATTATTACTTCTACAGATTATGCATCTTGTTCCTTCCGTCCACAGACAAACCCTCTCTTCCTCTCACTAACGCAAACTTGCCCTTTAGGCTCCTGCATTGTTCCCATTCAGATTCCTAGGATTTATCATTTTGAAGAAGTTGAAACTTGTGTTGGAAGTCTGTTACATAGAAGCACTACTCTAAGGGGAAAAAGAATCTTTTAATGTCTTGTCTGCGGCAAACTGAATTAAAAAAAACAATAATAATCTTTGCCTTTGATGTAGACCCCATAACGTGAAAACATCTCGAAGCATGAGAGTCAGTTTCTGTCAAGAGTAGCTTTAACTATCATTTCCTTGCTTGGTTTCACCTTTACATTTGCCAAACATTTTGACTCTGACATTTGGTTAAGTGAAAGGTGCTTTTTAAATGCATGTTCTTCTTATTACCATAGAGTGGTGGCTGACAGAGTTGGATGCAAACTATTCAGAATATATCAACTATCCCGTGCTATCAGAGTCTCCACAATTTCTGAATTCATTTATTTCCTGTGACCTTCAAACATGCACATCATGTTTCCATGGAGCCTTTGGAAACCTCACAGCCTTGAAGAAAATTGGATAGAGAGTGTTTATTTTATTATTATTTTGCTTCCATGAGTATTTAGGGCAAGCAGCAGTTGCATCAGTCACTGTGACACACGGTTTCTGGAATATCTGTGAACATTGACCCCAATCAGGCACTCTGCCACAATTCTCGTTGTGTGTCTTCCATTTAAGTACCATATCTAGATTGATCGAAGCAGCCGTGACCTTATGGAATAGCCATCATCTCCAAGGACAACTTAGTGGAGTCAAATCACATTGCACCAAGGCTAAAGAGTTTACCCTAACTAAAGGTACTGACAGTGGGAATTTGTCATTTTATCCCTGAAATCCTGATGGTCAATGGACACATGCCACGTAAACATGTGCACATATATCAGCTATATGTGCACAGATGTTTTCTTATGTCTTTATCTCACATTGCAAAGGAATAAAATATGTCGATCATCTGCAGACCAAACTAATAAATGTTTGTGTTAATTAATTATTTCATGCATTCAAAGCAGTCTTTTCATTCCCAAAGTAATGCCATTTGTATCTTTAGTACACAGCTCAGTACTGTACTGCTGA